GTCCAAAGTGTGGCAGGTACATCCCAAGATGTTGCCCAACAAGCAGGAGTTACAGAGGAAGGAGTCTCACCTGAAGGCAGTGACCAAGTTGCAGGAGCACCCGGTACTGCTGTTACACCAACACGTGAAGTCGAAAGTGTGGCAGGTACATCCCAAGATGTTGCCCAACAAGCAGGAGTTACAGAGGAAGGAGTCTCACCTGAAGACAGTGACCAAGGTGCAGGAGTAGGCGGTACCGATGTTACACCAACACATAAAGTCCAAAGTGTGGCAGGTACATCCCAAGACGAGGGCCAACAAGGAGGAATTGCAGGTGAAGCAGTTTCTCCTGGAGAAAATGTCCAGGATGCTGGAGTCTCAGATGGCGCAGTTACATCCGAAGATGTTGTCCAACATGCTGGATTTACAGAGGAGGGCGTGTCACCTAAAGAGAGTGACCAAGTTGTAGGAGTGGCCGGTACTGCTGTTACACCAACACATGAAGTCCAAAGTGCGGCAGGTACATCCCAAGAGTATGTCCAGGATGCTGGAGTTTCAGAGGCCGCCGTTATACCTCAGGATGTTTCACAACATGCTGAAGTTACAGATGAAGGAGTTTCACCTGAAGGGAATGACCAAGGTGCAGGAGTGGCCGGTACTGCTGTTACACCAACACATGAAGTTGAAGGTGCGGCAGTTACATCCCAAGACGATGTTCAAGATGCCAGAGTTACACATGGAGTTTTACCTGAAGACCTTGTCCAACATGCAGGAGTTACATCCACAGGTGCCAGAGTTACAGGAGTACAGGACGTCCAAAGTGCAGGAATCACTTTGGAAGATGATGTGCAGCCTGCAGGAGTAACAGGTTTGCATGTTACACTTCCCCACAAAGTCAAAAGTATGGCTGATCCAGATGCCAGAGTCACACCTGAATATGATGTCCAAGATGTCGAAGTTCCTGATGGACAATTTACACCTCAAAATGATGCCCAGAACTCAGGCATTACTGATGCAAGAGCTACATCGAAAGCTGCTGTCCAGGCTGGTGAAGTTACAGATGCCGGAGTTACCCCTGAATACCATTTTCAAAATGGTAGTGTTACCACTGAAGACCATGTCCAAGAAGCAGTTGTTAGAGGCACAGGTGCTACACCACCTTATGAAGTCCAAGGTGCAGGAGTTACACTGGAATACCTTTTCCCAGATGGAAGCGTTACACCCAAAGATGATGCAGGCCATATTGAAGCAGTAGGAGGTGAGTTGAACCACACAAATACTTTCTTCCTAGATATGTAATATGCAGTGTTGGAACCTAATTATAATTTTATGCTCAGAGAGTTTCAGCCTTTCCTATCCTTTCCCATTTGTATTTGGCTATTAATCTGTATAGAAATGTAACATAGAATCAATGAATGAACATTTCTTTTCTCTTACTTTATTTTTCAGCTCTTCCTTGCAGTGAGTCCTTCAGACCCTTCTTTGTAGTTCCAAACTGAGGGAGGTCACTGGATACCCCTCAGGGTTTCCCAATTGCACATCTGTTTCACGTAGCCAAGTCCACTGTGTGGAAAATAGGCCTGCATGCACCCCCGCTCGGCTTTGATTGTGAGCCCCTTCCTCACGGTGGCAGCAAAATATCAGCACATGCCTTCTTTGGAAGTAGGATCACACCCTTGTAAGAAAGGCGCATGGTCCATGTGCCAAACCCTCCATACTTTTATTTATGTGCATGTTATTGGGGTGGTGGATCTCACCATCACGACAGTCACAAATGAAGTTCTGGTAGCAAGGACAATTTGGCAGGGTCAATTTGTGGTCCTCCCAGTGGGTTTGCGCATCTTCAGGTTTCCACATGCAGCAATTTATTTCAATCTGTAATGGAAGTCTTGGGTGAAGGGGCGTCTCGGCATGTCCTTCCTGGACTTATATTTGCATTTCCTGAATTTCCATTCAGTCTGACCATCATATGGGCCTCTGCCACTCCCAGAGTAGCCTTGGCAAGTACCACCAATGGAGCAAAAAGGTCTGAGCACTCCCTGCCTTGCAACATGCAATAGCCACTCTCATTTTATTGCTATGGCATCTCATAGCTGAAACACCTCTGGGCAGTTCAAACCACTTTCTCAAAAATCTAAGACTGCACTGCTTGTGTGTTTGGGTGGTCCAGGTGTTGCTTTTTAATTTTCAGATCACATCGCCTTCCATTGTTCTGTTCAGATTTTGCTGCTCAGCATTTCACCTGGCAAAGGGTTTTATCTATTTGCTTTGCTGCAGAAGGGAGATTCATTTCTAGGTTGTTGTTCCTTGTTTCCAATAATCATGTTTTACATTGCAGACACAGCAAAACCAGAGGCTTCACGTCTTAAGTTTGCTTCTAAAAGGTCAAAAAGTGAGTACAATTATGCAAATACATTTAATAAGAACATAGCATTGGAAAGCCCAACATGACCATTTACTTATAATGGTATACATGGAAAATTTCATGCTTCCTAACTTGGCTTATTCATTCCTCTGTAGCTCCCTTGCATGGAGGAAGTTCTTCAGTTCATTCACTGAGGGCCATAGCCCTTCCATTCTTACATTAGAAGTTCCCAGATCCCTGCTTACTATATCTGGCCAAGCTGAGCTTTGAATATATGGGAGGCATCCAAGTCAGCAGAGGAAGGAGATAAGGACTTTCTGACCTGAACCCATGTATAACTCACTGACCAATCCAGCAGTGGCCCATTGCTTCATTTTCATGGAAAGAGCTTTCCTAAGAAGTCAGGTGCAGGGATTATTATTTATTATTATCATCATTATTTATTAAATGTTTATTCCTATACCCCACCTTTCTCCCATTGTGGAATTCAAGGTGGCCACATGCAGTTCCCAGGTGGTCTCCCCTCCAAGCTCAGGCCAGTCTCAGACCTGCTTAGCTTCAGGAGGGTGGATGCTGTATGTGCCTTCAGGCCATACAAGAAGTCATTCTTGGTGGGCAATGCACATTGTCCTTCTCAAACATATAGGGAGTAATGTTGAGAGCTTGGCTGGAAAGAGGCATCCTGCCTCTCTGAAGATAGGTCTCCCCAACATCAGGTTTGCCTTTTTTATACAAACAAAGCTTTTCCATACTTCCCAAACTTGCATGTAATTCCAGAAATTTACTTACATGTAAATTACTCTTTAATGTTTCACTTCTCCGGATTTTGCAATTCCATTTTCTGGTAAAAATGTGGGTACAAATATGAGCTCAAGTGCTTACCAAAAGGAATGTGTTCAGGAAAATCTCGTGCTGTATCACTGTTTTAATTCTGTGGATGATGTTATTAGTTGTTTTAAAATGTTTTAAATTCCTGTAAGCCATCCTGAGATATTTATGTAAAGGATGGCATACAAAAGCTTTTAATAAATAACAAATAAATAAATAAATGCAGAAGAGCAAATAAGAGGAGGAAATGTGCTTAGCTTAGAAAGATGGATGAAACCGCACAATAACTGAGCACACCCAACTGAGTAGAGGGCATGCATACAGTGGGGAAGGAAAAGTCTGCACATTGATGTCGAACTGGGATGGAATGAATGTGTCTTTCAAATATGTTCCAGAAAGGTAATGGCCATCTAATATAGACAGCTGCTCTGGTGCAGGGAAATTATGGGGTGGATTAGAGATATATTAGATATAAATGTATGTCTTATTTGAACCTGCAAGCAGTTTGCTTAATGCAGAAAGTAATGCCCAGTTAAATGAATGAAGAAGTGAGATTAATTTGGATCCTTGAATGTCTGTCTTATTTCTGCAGAAAGAAGGCAAGAAAGAAAGCGCAGCTGATGTGGCTCTGAGGACAGAAATGGCTGATTTGGTTGCTATTCCAGTCAAGGGATTGTAGGACCGTTTCCTAGTGGCACCTCTTGCTCTTTGGTTCTCAGATCAAGAGTATGGAGACACAAAGCAAACCAGCAGTCTATAACCAGAGCACATATCTCAACTGTCTGCTAACCATGATTAACTAATACTCTTCGTTTCCCACATCCACCTCCTTTTTAATTAAAGGATATTCTGCTTGCATTTCAGTAGATGTCTGGCATTTCTTTCATCTCCTATGTGCTTGAATTGTCGTTGTTGTGATGTGCCATCAAGTCATCTCCAACCGATGGTGACCCCATGAATGAAAGTCCTCCAAAAAGTCATGTCCATGACAGCCCCATTCAGTTCTTCTAAGTGCAGGATTGTGGCTTTCTTTAGGGAGTCCATCCATCTCATGGCAGACCTTTCTTTTCTTCTCCCTTTACCCTGAATGTCTTCTTCAGCAGCCTCGCCTTCCCATGCTGTGCTGTATTTGAGTTGTTATAGGATTGAAACACCTCCCACAGGTGCTCCAAGTGTCCATATCGGCAAGAGCCTTCTCAGTGACCAGCCAGTGAGAAGCCCAAGATGCCATTTTTGAGTTTCTGTATCCCTGCACCCTGTCTCTAGAAAACATATCTTTGAATCAAGGGGAGGGCAATAGAAACCCAAGAATGACAGCCCAAAACCACAAGTCCAGCCCTTGAAGAGCAGACTCAAAGTCTGCTTAGTCTCATGACTTCTTTTCACAACCTCACCCAAGTGGATTTCCTGGTTTTTGAAGACTGTTAAACATAATGCAATTTTCTTCTCGGTGTGGCAAATACAGCTTCTTGATAGGCGAGCCATGTGTGAGGACCTCCTTTTCCTGAAGCTTTGACCCTTCGTGTGATGGGTCACAGGAGTGCACCAGTGCTCCTTTTCTACAATGGGAAGTTCTAGACGGAGGGTGGGCCGAGTTTCTATTTTATTTAAGGATCCAGAGATGTTGAAATAAGTTAGAGTACTGCATTATTTACCTGAATGGATCTTCAAACAGGTGAATAATTAGGTACGGTGGGGATCTGACTGTGGCCATGATACTGGCCAAAGACTAAGGGTCAGATTCAAGCTACATTCAGGGTTGAGTATTTTATCTATCTATCTATCTATCTATCTATCTATCTATCTATCTATCTATCTATTTATTTAAAACATTTCTATGCTGCCCCCATTGCAACAAAGCCTCGGGGCAGCTCACAACATAATTAAAAACATATAAATAACACTAAATACCATAAAGATTAAAAAGCCCGGTAACATCTCAGCTAAAAATTTAAAATCCTATAAATACATAATAAATTAACAATTAAAATAAGTTTTAAATAAAAAGGTCTTAGCCTGGTGCTGAAAAACAAATAACGACGGCGCCAGGCGGACCTCTCTGGGGAGCGCATTCCATAGGTGGGGCGCCACCGCAGAGAAGGCCCTCCTCCGGGTACTCATCCTCCTAATCTCATTAATGGAGGGTTCCCGGAGAAGGGCATCTGTTGCCGATCTCAAGGGGCGGGAGGGCACATGTTGCTGTTGAAATGTGGGCAATCGTGCTCTGAACCCAGCCGTGCTAACGAATCATGGGTTGTTAAACAAGAACAGCCCACACTTCACAACCCAACACCAAACCCTAGGTTCTCTTCATCAGCAAGCAAGCAAGGAAGCAAAGCACTCTTTGTTTGAGCATCTAGTGTGGCTGGGTTCAGGCAGAACTATGGTCTACTTTCAACAACCCTAACCCTAAGGGGACTGAAGATCCACCACTGGGCTCCTGATCCATCTTCATCCCATTGGATATCCTGGATCTAAAAGACTGCTTCACAAGGCTCAGTGGAATTCCCTTCCTTCCGAATATAGCCAAGCTCTGTGTACGGGCCATCAAACATCACACCGAATTTCACCCAAACACGATGCCATCCACATTCCCTTTCATTAATGGGGTGGTCTAGGGTTGCACCTCACAGAGCCCTTTCCAAAATAGAGGGGACGTGATCCATCCATTGAGCAATTTCATAAGTGTATTTTTTTTAAAGGAGAAACTAGTATGGATGGTGGGAGCCCAGACTGGGACCATAGTGGCAGTGAAAACGTCAAATAAATGACATTCCCACAATTGCGGAGTCTGTGAATGGTGTCAAGTCTGGTTTGGTGCACAATGCAACCCTATAGATTTTATTGAACTGGGAGAGGAGGAACAGAAGTTTTGCCATGTTTTTCTGCAGAATATATTGAGGGAAGAGAGCCCATGACCTCTCTCAAGTTTTACAAAGATAAAACTTCGGTGCCTCTCTTCTCTAGATCAGCCTCGGTTGGCTTGTGTGAACCTGCTCAGTTTGCTCTTTGCTTCAGTGCAAACCCTAATTCTGTTAAAAAGGATTCTTTTCCCCCCTGTAGCAGAAGGAGAGGTTCCCCCCTTGAATCCATTCACCCCAGAAAAGAATTTGCCTTTGAAGTTTAAAGTATGTACCCAGCGATGGTGCAGAGGACTGCACGTGTGAATGGGGAAGCAAGTTCTGTGTTTGGCTGAGGGAAAGAATGCAAACTGGGGCAAAGCCACAACAGTTCAACAGGTACAGCACATGCCTGGGAGTAAAGCTAAATATTCAACTGGAAAGAAACCAGGGGGATGCCCAGAAATTGAGGGACAGACAGCAACTCCAGCTCCTACCAGGCCTTCCCTTTCCCCTGCTCTCCTTCATGGGATTCCAGCAATCCCACGGAGCTTTTCTAATATCTGTGGAATGCATTGATCACCAGGCGCCCAAAGTTGCTCAGGTAGAAGGCAGAAGAGCATCAGAAGGCAAAATGCCACCTAGCACGGAGCTACAACCAACGGAGGGTGGGGGTTTGCCATGTTTGCCTCGTTAAGTCTCTTTGGTCCAGGAATCACTTCCTTAAACAGAACGCACAATATCAAGCTGTTTGCACCTCCAAGAATGCTCAGTCCCAAAACTTGCTGGGCAATCATTTAATGTTGAGGGTGTTTGTTATTAAATTTTACTTGCGCCCTATGAATTATGGTAAACTGCAAAGGAAACTTCAATTATTGGGCACTATAGAAATGAAATAAGCAGATAACCTTCGCAAGAGCAATGCCTACCGGAAACACACAATTAACCCACATCACACTCTGGCTTCCACTAGGGAAATAATTTCTAAATAATTGTAGCATTTATGTGTTAAAAGTAACCCACTCTCTTTTAACCCTTTGTCTGCAGCATCTATGTGTTAAACATAGCTCGTTATCTTTTAATTTGACCAGTCACAAAAGCCTGCATTTGCCCTAAATGTCCTCCTTTTGGCCTTGCTGTAAAAGGTCTGCCTCCAGAGAAGACCCATCCTCACTGGATATTGAAGTACAACTTGGATGGGCAGTGTGGCGCAGTGGTGAGAGCACCCAACTGGAACTTAGGAGGTCTGTGGTTCTGCCCCCACCAGACCATGGAACAACTTGGGTGACTTTGGGCCAGTCACTGACTCTCAGCCAAAGCTCACAGGGCTATCGCTAGTTTAAAACAGAGAAGAGAGGGGAACACCTGCCGAAGCCATCTTGGGTTCCTTGCAGGAAAGAAGGTGGGATAGAAAAAGTAAATACAACAGTGTATAAACCTCATTACCTTTTGCTGGACCTCCAGTCCACTTTCTTAACTCCATTTTTTCCTGTAGAGTTCACTGGAACCATGGAATTCTGGGATCTGGGTCATGAAGACCCATGGGAAAGTCTGCAGAAACCCTGTTGAGTCAGGGAATTTATTTGGAAAAATATGTCAGAGGCACCTGTAATCTGACGGATGGTTGAATGTGTCGCATGAAGGTCCCTGACAACCCACACCTGAGCAACGCCACCTGCTTACTCAACAGTCACGGAGATTTGGGGAGTTCTGTTGGGTGCATCATCATCTCCCCAGATTTCAGTGAAGGGGAAATCCAGATGCCAAAAGTGGAGGACATTTCTAATCCTTCATGGATCTACATGAAACTCAGGGCAGATCCACTCCAAGGAATCTTAAGGAAATTCTTTTTTGGCTCTCAGTTTAATTTGCTTTTACCAGATTAATACTAGAACAGGAAAACCACTCTGTTTTCGTTTTTACCCTGAAATATAACTGCCACGCACTCAAACTTTGCCCCACAACTGGATCTACAAAGTTCTCAGCAGTTGCGTGTGCCACGCTGACAAGTAGAATTGCCCATGCTCAGCCGACAGTCCAGAAACTTCATGGGTCAGATTGTAGGGATGAGCAGAAGGGTCTTTTCAGCCGATTCCTCTTGAGGAAGCAAACTTGAGTGGGCCCTTCCTTCACCATCGATGTCTCTTCTTGAGAAGGAGGAAGATCTGGCTGGCCTGAGTCCAACATCCGTTCCTCACCGTGCGGACTGACTCTACTCTTTTGCCTTGACTGCAGCTTAACATGCCCTCTGGCTTGGTTGACATGCTAACCATGGAGAGTTTTCTAAACCCTAGAAGAAACCAAAGGTTCCACCGCAGCCTTCTCTGGGCAAGCTGCGGCCGCCATTGCGCAGCTGCCCCTGGCGATGCGGCTCACATACTTAAAAATGGAATTAAAAGGTTATATTTTTCTTATCTTCAATCCTTTTTTAGAGTCTTTGTCTCTCTCTCTCTCTTCCATCCTCCTCTCTTCTGTTTCCCCCTCCATATTCCTGCTCTGTATATTTATTTATTTATTTATTTAAACCATTTCTATGCCACCCCCATTGCAACAAAGCCTCGGGGCGGCTCACAAAAAATACAAAAAAAATACATAAACAATAACAATATAACAATTTAAAAGAAAAAAAAACATTTAAAACCCCCAGTGCATTCTCGGCTAATTTAAAATCCTAATACTTACAATAATTTAGCAATTAAAATAAGTTTTAAATAAAAAGGTAACTCAGTGTATTTTTTGTATTTTTGTATTTAATGGTAATTTATTATGTTCTATTGTATTTCAATGTATTTTATTGTGTTGTAAGCTGCCCCGAGGTTTCGGCAAGGAGCGGCATAGAAATGTTATAATAATAATAATAATAATAATAATAATAATAATAATAATAATAAAAAACAAATAATGATGGCGCCAGGAAGACCTCTCTGGGGAGCACATTCAATAGATGGGGCACCACCACAGAGAAGGCCCTCCTCTGGGTACTCACCCTCCTAATATCATTCACAGAGGGTTCCTGGA